ACATAAAACATAATTTGCCGTTGTACTTGATTATTAATGACCTTAGTCAACCTCTTCAAGTTTTCCCTCAGTGGTTCATGGTTTCATTCTGTTACGACTTGCAGTTGATAAAGCTAACCTCAAATAATAAGCATCAAGCCAGGGAATTGTCATAGATTTGATCAGTTTCACTTCTAGTGAAATGGAACCAACACACATGTCTTTATTCTGTTATTGCACATGTGTTAAGAGAGAAACAATGAACACAAGACATATTTCACTCAAGTGAATTTTAGTCATTGAATCAAATAAAGATTTAGAAAAGATGTGGTCCTTCTAAAATCAATGACACATGTTGTTAATTGAGATTAAAAAGAAAGTCATTATTTAAAAACTATTCAACTGATGAATTTGAAAAGATGATGAGTGGAAAGTCGGTTTGAGTAAGTGTTAAAGAAATGTGTTAGGAGCTGAGAGAGAAATGCCTCCTGTATTGAAAATGATTAATCAAGTTTGATCTCTCATTCTCTATCTCTCTCACTCACACAATTTTCTTTCTTTTTTTTTTTTCTTTGGTTTGTTCTGTAAAATGGCATTGAAATATCTCTTGCAGACATTAGTGAACAGAGATGAAAAGAGATCAAAGGAAAATAAATATGGATCTTCTTGATGCCAGTTAAGTGCTAAAGTGGATTGTAAAGTTCTTGGGTGTCTGCAAGAAAAAGCCATTTGCCCAAGAAAAAGTAATGATAAAAATGGAAGAGTGAAAAAATATATATACCTTGAAGGTCAGTGGTGTCACATGGGGATTATCCAAGGTATAGATTACTGAGGGTTAGTGTCAACATTGGATTAAGAACTTTAAAAAATAAAAATCTAATCAAAGAAGGATACATTTTACTTCAAAGAAAATAGTATATGTAGATACCCTCATATATATATATATATATATATATATATATATATATAAAAAAGAAATATGTTGTAGTGGTTCCAACGAGAAAAGTATGTATATTAAAAAAAGAGGGGTGCATAAACGTTTTGGTTGTAATGTGGATTTATTGAGAAAAAATATTATACTTTGTTTTACATAATTTCACGACCCGTGTTTTCTGGACAATGTCTCATATCAACCGTCTTCAGGTGAACATGAAGAAAAAATTATTATTTTAAAAATATGTAAAAATTCTTCATTTCAATGAAGAATATTCTTAGATACCAGAAACACGTGTCGAGAAATTATGTAAAATAAAGTATAATATTTTTTCTCAATAAATCCACATTACAACCAAAAAACGTTTATGCACCCCTCTTTTTTTTTTAATATATATATATATATGTATGTATGTATGTATCTGGGTTTATGTGGCTTGCTTAATGGTTGAGATAGTTGACTAGATTTCTGAGAGGAGCCAAATGAAAAATCTTCAGTATCATAGGGACACCACGGATAAAAAAAAGGTCAGGGTTTCAATAGCTAACATCCACATGGGTTTCACTCACTGGAAAAATTTATGTAGCACTATTTTTCCTCACTGGAAAAATTTATGTAGCCACCATTTTCCTACCACCATTTAGCTACACTTGGGAAAATGTGTGCATGCATGCATAGATAGATAGATAGATAGATAGATAGATAGATAGGTATAAGGGATGCTGAAAGCTTCATGATTTGACCTACTTCCAAAGATCTGACTAAATGACCAAACATCAGATTTTTTTTATGAATTTCTTTGTTAAGCCAAGGCCTTTGTAATCCCCCACCCCCACCTTATATGCAGGAACAGACATTAAGTAAATAGGAATAGACTTAGACAAATAGATATGAAGACAGATTAACTGGGATGGAAATATGGCTGGAATGTTGAATAGAATAAAAGCAATCTACATATATAAAATGCAGTGTGTCTGTAACACTTTTTGCAGGGTGCACAGCTACTGCACTGATCATTGGTAGAGCATGAGTCCATTTCATTTTTCCCCAATATCTATCAATTAAATAGCAGTGTAGACTGGGCTCTCTATCCTTGGATGGTAGCCAGTCTAGTAGAAGGAGACCTCTGAATACAAAGACTGTAGAGAAGGCAACAGAAAACCACTCAACAATTTTTCCCAAACAAGTCATAGCAATTCACAGATAATAAAAGAAAAGGAATCTGTGGAGAGCTATGTTCACTTATATCCTTTCAGAACAGCCTTTTTAAAAAAAAAAAATGCAAGTGAAAATGCTCAAAAATACAAAATGAAACATTTTTAGCAATTTTATCTTTTTTTGTTTGTTTTTTTACAATAGGGTTCATCCTGTACAAGGCCTGAGGGCCACTCGAGGTAGAGGGTTACGTTAAGGGATAGTTTATATGGATAGGAAGGAAAATAACAGCTAACTCTAGACTTAACAGGTTAAGATTGTAGTGATCAGGGAAACATCCTCTTAGAAGTCTGTTCCATCAAGCAGTAGTTTGCAGGAAGAAGCTATGTGAGTGGGATTATTCAAACACGTTTCAATAAAGTTCCTTTGATCAAAGGAAAAGAAATTTTTTTCATCATTTTATCCCAAGCAAGGAGATAAAGCCATTAAGATTCAAGAGGTTGCTGGGAGTTAAAGATACTGAGAGCAGACAATAAGAGAACAAGATTCAAGGAGAAAGAAATTGTCAACTGACATTGAAATTGTCAAATGAAAAAACTCAAAGTAATTATGAACAATGCTCATGACTAATGGGAAAACTTGTTCTGTTAGTTTCAAATTTGATTAACCTATTTAAGGTTCGTACAGTGATTGTTGAAAAATCACATCTTTAAATTTCATCTTATATAATCAGTGAAAGGTGCATTTTAATGAAATATCCTGAGAAACAGAAATGAAAAGTGACATGTTCTGGTTTTCTGCTATTTAAATAATCCACCTGACAATGTAGTAGAGAGCAACCAACTGGTATGACATTTTTAAAGATTGAAATAAAAATAAGGTAAAATGAGATAAATAAAAAAAAAAAATATTTGTATTTCTTGTAAAGTTTTAAACATGTTGTGTCAGTTAATTCTACAACATTTTTGTGTTATTCTCATCAATGTAAGACTTTGAAAATTTGTTTTTCATTATCTCTCCCCATGCAAGGCAATAGAGCCACTAAGACACATGGGGTTATTGAGTGTGAAAGAATAAGAAAAGAGAGAAACATTATTAATGAGCAAGAACAATAGAAGAGTAAACAAGAGGACAGAAAATAACAATTGACATTGCTCTTCAAAAATTTAAATGTAAAGTTGTCAAGCATGAAGCTGAAAAAGAGTTCCACAAGTGAGAAATGTGAAAAAATAAACTGTTAGCATAGAACTTATGGTTACATTTTGTTGGTTTTAATCTGCATGGGAATGACTGCAAAACACTTGCCCCTCCCTATTTTATAGGCAGAAGCACACAAATACATGCTGGGATTTTTTCCTAGCCAATAAAATAGGCCAGTTCTCAGTTTCATCTGACTTAGTACTGGTCTGTCTTGATTTGAAGTCAGAACGCTTTGTTCACTTGTCCTAACTTGCTTTTGTGTGTCAACCACAATTCTTTGTTTGTGAACTTTTTGCCATATTACTGTTGATTTGCCTTGCATATATTTTTTTTTTTTTTGCTTTTTTTATATTATTTTTGCCCTGTTTCTTTTTCTCTTTTTTTGCAATTGTTTATTACAAACTTTGTCAATTCTGTTTGTTGAAAAGTTCTGTCATTTATTTTGCATTTAACCATGTCTACTCACTCCACGCATCTAATCAAAATCCAATTGATGTGAGTTTACCACCAAAATCTAGTACTGCACTTAAATTCATAAAGTCTAGATACCATAGCAAAGTATTCATCTGAGCAGTTCCCATGAAAATATTTATAGAAAAGCTGCAGGGAAGCAACATTACAGTGGTGAGAAAGTGACTAAAGCTGTCAAGTCAGGACCAATAATATTCCTGATTCTTCTTTGGATTTTATCAAGAATCTCTAGGTATACAGCTGGCACACCACACCACATGTGGCAGCAATATTCAAAGAATGGACAAATGGTAGGCATCAATATGGAAGATAGATTCAAGAGAGAAATATTGTCTAGCACAACAATAGTCCAAATGTAAATATTGATAACTCCTCATCCCAGAAACTCAAAAATTGAGGAAAATGACTTTGTAATTAGTAATCAATAGACCTAGAATTATTTCTTTTTTTTTTTTGAACAAACATTTTCTTTTCTCTTCTTTTTTTGCTGATTTATAGTTAATTAATTAAAAATTACATCTGTGTCATGACTGAATTTAAAATTTGTTTATTCCTCGTCAGAGCATTTTAACAGTATTGTGCTATGGAAATTGTGTTACAATGTTCCATTTTTGCTGTATTAAACAGAAAAATATGCAAAAATCAGGTTATTATGATTGTGTATGTGTAGAGAGTGAGAGATCAAGAGAGTTTTTTTTCCTGCTTTGTTTTTACACTCAAAGTTATAAGTGAATGTGTTCTAATCCTGTAAACAATCCTAAGTTTGAAGATCCGGACATACCAGATTAGAAAGTGATTACTTTTTGATTGATTAGTTCATTTCAAAGCTATATTTGTTATATAATATCTTTATAAAATTCCTGGATATTCTGGCTTGTTTTCCTTTTATAGACGCATATGGTATATCTCTTAATCTTTGGCCATTAGATCATAAAAGGCTGAAACAAAGCCTTAAATGTGATCACTCAGAAATAACATTTAATTTCGCTGACTTATTGAACTGCATTTCTTCTAACTTCTCTCCACCCCCAAGCCCATCCCTCTCTACTGCCCCAACTCACTATCAAGATCAAACAGTATACTCATATTTGCACACTTAGTTCCAGTGTAACACTCAGTATGAAATGTTACACAGAATTAATTCATTTAATGGAGTTGCTACAGTTACTGGTAGAAACAGGAGAGGGTCTTTTTTTTTTTTTATTTATATATTTTTTGTCCTCCTCCTCCTCCTCCTCCTCCTCCGCTGTGTATAAGTGTCATGTATCCTTCTCCCATCTCTGCCAGCCCCCCCCATCTACTCTTCTCATTCATTCCAGCTGAGCTGTCCCTTCTTTCAGGTTTCTGATTGGTCATTAAACATCCTAATTTCCCTGACCAATCACTCTCACCCATTCCCACCACCACTGTAAACATTACCATTTATTTCCTTCTTTGGGGGAAGACTTGCAGGTATCCATAGCAACAAGCTGTTCAGATGGGGATTACTAATTGTCTCTTTATAAAAGTGATCCCTGCCTAGAAGCTGTGAGAAATTCGATCTATTTGTTGTCACTCTCTGGAAATTCTGCATAAAATTATTGTCCTTGATTTGCACACTGTAATTCTAGTGAGCAGACAATTAAACTGTCTTTTCTCCTCTGTCTAATCATACAGAGATATAACAATAGGTGCATATTTTGTGTTATTATTCCATGTCATCTTTACTTTATGACTCAACTTTCCTTGTAATGTTTCCCTCTTTAGGGATGCCTGATTCGAATTTCTATCAGGAATAGATTTCTCTTTTGCTCTTCAACTCTAGGAAAAATTCTTCATATCAAGGTTATTCTCTGATAACTCAAGATTGATCCAAAACTCTCTTGAGAGAAACAACACTTTTCTAATAAACTGTAACTTTATTATTCACAAAAGTTTTATCTAGTTGTTTAATTTTTTATTAATTCTTCACAAGTACCTCTTTCTTTTTAATTTCTGTTGTTTTTTTATTGCAACTTCTATGATTACTAAGTATTTACTTACAGATAAGAAATAAAGAATAATCCCCAATTGTGATTTGAACTCACATTTTTTAATCATGGTAACCTGGCTAACCAGTCAGAATCATTTAAATTTAGCCATGTCACTATATTCTTCCCTTCTTGTCTACTTAACTTTTATACTAGTAGTCATTAGTAATTAATAATAGTATTAGATGTAATGATATTTTAAATTTTTGGATGAAAAGAGTACTAAACTGTTATGTAATATTAATCCTCCTATATGGCAGTGAATGCTAAACAATCTTCTCATAGAAGAAGAGACTTGAGACTTGAGACAAGAGAAATATGGTTCTATAGAACTGCTGAGAATACCATGGATTGAATATGCGACTAATGAGGAAGTTTTAGAGAAAATGAAAGTAAAATGGGCATTTATATTTAGAATCAGAAAGAGAGCTGAAAAAGTTTCAACCCAACCAAAAATGAATTAAAAAGTACTAAGAAACTTTCAGAAATTTCTCATTGAAGTAATAATGTTCAAATTTCTTAGAAGAAGCATTATTAATTCTTATTGAATATTTACTATTTATTTTATTTCTGTGGCGTTTTTTTTATCCCAACTTCATTTCTAATCCACACTATTATCTTAACAATCATAAGATAACAATCTGTGAGTTGGTTTAAAAAATGAAATCAACTCAACCATTTCTCAAGTACAGTTGGGAGTTGCATGTCAACTCCTATCCAACAGAACAGGTGCTTTCAGCATATATCTCCACACCCATTACAATAAAAAGAGTGTTTAAATGTGTTTCAAGGATTTTAAACTTTATTATTTGGTCGGTAGATAAGAGCACTTCTTTGACATTTGATGCAAAATGCTTCCTCTCATTGAAAGTCATCACTTTTTTGGGGAGCAGTTTTTTGTCGCTGTATACCATGTCAGATTTGATTATACAAGTCCATGTTGACAAAATTTCAGGCTATATTTATACAAGAAATATAACATGCATTTCAGCTTGCAATATCTGCTTTTATTAAAATTATTTATAAAAACCTTTTGGTGATGTGAGATTTTAATATGCAATTTAATATAAGTGATCATTGAAGTCAACACCCAGAGGCAACATTCTGTTTCATGTTAAATACAATCATCAGGCCATATGATTGCACTGAACATGAAACAGTCTGGGTATTGACTTCAATGTCCACTTTTATATTTACATATGCTCTATCCCTGATATTGAGCATTTTAACCTATAAATATAGCAATATCTAATTTTGTATAGTTTTATATATCAGCAAACAGTATTTAGAAAAATATGACAAACTGGAAAAGTTTATTTGTGATGCATTTCTTCCATTAGGATTTCAACAAAGCTTAGTCTGATGAAACGCGTCACAAATAAACTTTTCCAGTTTGTCATATTTTTCATATATATATATATATATATATATATATATATATATTTCTTTGTCTTCTTTCCTTTTCCCGTGAAGGGACTTGTTAAATAGGTCAAAATGTCTGGCACCTTACTCTACCACCCTTACACTTACATATCTTAAAAAAGGTAAATTTAAACATATTCCTATCTCTCCCTTACCTCTCTAATTTCGATCATATTAGTCGTCGTCCTCCTCCTCCTCTCTCTATCACCTTAAATCAACTTAAAACTATCCCTCAAAAACTTGTATAAAAATAATATGTAAATTTTTAAACCATTTTCTTTTATGCTTGGAAATGTAATTTGAGAAACCACAAAAAAACAACATTCCTGGTGAAATAAAATATAATCTATGAGCCCTTAAGGTTGTCAGATTTTAATTTAACAATATATATATATATATATATATATATGTATGTATGTATGTATGTATGTGTGTATGAAGTAATAGTACAGTTATTAATTATTTTTTACAGATATATAAACATTTGCCATAAGTTGTAAGAATGATATAAGCTCAAAAAAGAAACAAAATATTGTAAGGTTATTGAATGAAGGAATTGCAAGTATGTTGAATAGAATCCAGAAAACAATAAAAGAAATCAATGGCAAGATGAGAACAAGAAAAAAATGCCTTCAATGCCATGAAATAATTTGAAAAGAATTAAAATGGAAATAGGCAAGAAAAGACCAACCAATAAAAAATATTTGAAGGAACTGATGTTAGAAAGAGTAGAAAAATACAGACAATTAAAAACCTTGGCTAAAGATATGAAAACAACCAAACTACCACCTTTAAGTAAACATCACAAAGAGAAATGTGTAAGTTGGATGAAGTCATACATGAAAACTGATTTCTTAACAGTAATTTTTAGTGATGACTGTAAAGCTACATTGGATAGAACTGGTGGTTGGGCTACAGGTTGACTCGTTTGTGACAATAGCCAACCAACAAGACTTAGTGGGGAGGTTAAGTAAATTCTTGGAGATTTTTTGATTATTACAAGTCATAAAGAAGTTGAAACATCAAATAATGCAAGACAACGCTCCTTCAAATTCTGCAAAACTGAGTAGTTCCCCAAAAATCTTTCTGCGAGAACGCCTCCCCCACTTCTCCAGATATTGTTCCAATAAAAACTTGTGTTCTAAGGAATCTGTATGAGAATTGGAAAACAATTTTCAAAGAAAGATCTCTGGAAAGCAATAAAAACTGTTCCAAGTAAAGGTAAATTTAAAACAATAGCAAAGAGGTTAACAAAATCAACAAATAAAAGATCAGTGAAAGTTATAGAATGGCAAGGAGCTCATATTAATATGTATTTATTTATGTCTGTAGAATAATGTTTTAATAATATATATGTTTCTATTGCCTATATCTTTAGGATTTATTTATAAATAAATATATATGGGGTACTTAGCTTATTTGCATAATAAAATTTGACACCTCCAAAATTATTTTTAATAAGGAGAGATATAAGCTGAAACTCAGAGAATCTATTACTTGTATAAATATAAGTATATCCTCAAAGTTTTTGTATCATCAGTTGGTTAATTTGGTTGTGAAAACATTGACTAGCAGAATTATATATATATATATATATATATTTAGTACCTATGCCCCTTCAGAATATCATGAATCTTCATAGTTCCCTTCTTATTTTAAAATCTATAAACTGTGCTTTGTCATTATTGTTCTTGAGAAAGACAATGAAATGGCTTCCTGTTTTCCTTATCCTAGACTGGTTGCCAACCAAGGCAAAAATCCAATCTGCCTTGCTATTTTATTCGTAGTTGGTGGGAGTAAGGAAAAGAGATGTATTCTTGTTTTTCCCAAGAGCATTAGTAAATACAAACTGTCTCAGACAAAATTTGAACTCAGATCACTGATTGTGTTTTTCTGTACTGTCAACCATTACTACACCCAATTCTTCTGTCGATTATTAGATTTCCCTTAATCTTCAGTTCATGGGTAATGAGCAGGACAAAACCATATCAACCAAATATTTGATGGAAGATAAATTTTTTAATCACCCTACAAAAATCACAGATCCAAATCTCGTGCATACAGATACTTAACAGTATTGTCATTTTCCTGTATGCATTAAAGCAAATTTCCTTTTCTGTCAAAATTCCACGTGACACCAAAATAACCAGACCGAAATCATTTTTCACTCTAAAAAGATTCATGCGTTCCTCAAAGCAATGATCTAAAGTTAAACAAAAAGTTATCATTAAATAAGCAAATTCCACTTAAAGTTTTCATTTTACTAGGCAGATGATGATTGACATAATAATTATATAACAATATAATTTTTTTTTTGTGGGGGGTATTATAAATTCTTCTGTGACGAGTCAAAAAGCAACATGTGCTCATTATACTCTAATGCTTGTATATAGTAAATGAATTATGGAAATTCTGCTTACATTTTATATGTGCTTTTTGTATTTGTTGTTCACTATATATATATATATATATATATATATATATACATACACATAAACCTTATTTCATCCATAACACCAATATCCAGGACCTGAGTTTATATATAACATAAATATATATATATATATATATATATATATATATACACACATACATACTACTACTGCTACTACTACTACTACCACTACTAAAGAAAAAACAGTTATTTTGGTATGACCAACAGACAACTTGTCAGAAGACCTAACACCTTAGACAAGAGAAAATCCTGAAAAGAAAAAAGAAAGATCAAAAGGCAAACACCTGCCTACTCAGTAAGATGCTCAACATCCAGATTATCGAGACAGCAAAAAATGCTTCACATCAACACTTAACAAAGGACATCCTGAGGAGTTACTCAAGTTTCATGCTCTTGCAATCTTCAGACATTCTTGTCATCTGAAGATTGCTAGAGCGTGAAACTGGAGTAATGA